CAACCGGAAACTACCACATTTACTTAGAGATTGTATCTTTGCCCAAGAAGTGTGCAATCTCTCACCATTTCAAGGATCGATATTCTCTGTCCATGTATTGGAGTTTTTCTCACGGCTAAAAGATCTGGTATGTCTCCCTCCATTGCGTCTATATGAGGCTAATCTCTAAGCTTGGATCTGTTGGCACCTTTGGATAGCTCGGAACCAACTTCTCTATGAAAACAGAGCTTTCTCGGTCATGGAGATCATCACCAAAGCTATTACTGCAGCTAAGGAATGGCAATACGCTCAAACATTGAGCCATAACCCTCAAGCTAGTGAAGATCAGACCCACTCCCCACAAACGCCTCCCCAATCAGTGACCTGTTATGTTGATGCAGCTTGGCAGGCGAATTCACGTTGTTGTGGCCTCGGCATCCTGTTCCACCTTGATGGGATCAAAGCAGAGCACTCAGCTAATCGAACACGTCTCCTCGGCTCTGGCAGGTGAAGCTTGGGCGATCCGTGAAGCTCTACAACAAGCAATCTACCTTGAACATAGCGAGCTATGTGTGCTTTCGGACTCGCTTTCACTAGTGAAAATTCTCAACTCCCACGAAACTCATACGGAGATTCATGATATTGTTCACGATATATGCCTTTTGGCGTTATCTTTCTCTTCGATTTCATTTCGATATATCTCTCGTTCCGCTAACATGTTAGCAGACGGGATTGCAAATCAAGCTCTTAATGCTTTGTTAAACTCTTGATTCATTGGTAATAAAATGGTTTGACAAAAAAAAAATATATTGTTTTATGATTAGAGAAGAATGTTTGTGTTTTTATTATAAAAAGGGGTTTTAATAAAAAATCCCCTCAATTATACTCGGATCATGAAAAATCCCTTCAACTATTATTTTTAGTAAAAAAACCCTTCAACTATACTTCATTAATGAAATCAACCCTCCGTCTCAATAACGTTTAATCCTAATAAAAATTGTTGTCTTTTGTTACAAAAACGACAAAGCGTTTCAAATATTGACCAAAACATCAAGTTATTTACAGGAAAACAATACAAAATGAATATTATGACAAAAAAAACGTGATCGTAGGTATACTGTAAATCATG